TTTTACCACAGCTGGTGAGCAGATACCCACTCAGGCCAAAACGCCAAGCGGCCAGCAACAAAAAGCATAGGACAATCGGGAAACATTTTTGCGTCGAGCCTTCAAGGAATCGTCTACATGTTTTGTCGCAATTAAGGATGTCAGTCTTCCGGTTCCATGCGCAGCAGCGGCACTGTGGTCACCACTCCCCACCCCATCTTCCCCCTCCCACCGGTGGTGCCGTTTTGACGGACGCGGCGCGGTGAACACGGGTTCCCCAGCGTCGGCGCACGGAAGGGAGGGGGGGCATTGAAATATTCAGGAAGGCCGTTTGTTCACGCGATGTTGGGCGAACGCCGCCACCGCTCGCACCCGAGCACAAACAGATCGGGAACGCCGCTCCCACCAAATCGCGCCGCTTCACGAATTGAGGGCACGGTTTCAATGAGTGTGCGTTGGGTTTCATTCCACCGCGAGGACTCGGGATAATGACTATGGAGCGTTATTGTGTCGGCAATGGACGAAGGCCTCTACCCCCCAGCCCCCCTTAGGCGATTTCAGCCATGGGCAATGGCGGAGCCAGGATTTTCAGGAAGGGGGGGGGGGGCAACCCCTCCAGCAATGAAAAATTATAGGAGTTGTTAGTAAGTAAGGAGTTGTTAGTAAGTAAGGGCTTATAACCTTCATTTTCATTCGACGCAAGTGCGGCGATGGCGAAGCCATCAATCGAGGGTCGAATTCGAACCACGTTGTGTGATCGGCATCGCGCTCGCTGAAGGTGTTGATGCCTTCAGGGAAGTCATGTCCTGTATACGCAACTGCGCACAATTCTGTGAGTCACTTATAACTGCATTGCCATTATTTATTTCCAATTATGGACTCAGACTATTGTCGTAATAATATGCTACAGTGGCAGTGGGGGGGTCGCAAAATGCCGATTTATTACGAATAAACTCCAATGATCCGATCGAAATTAGGGATTTCGATCGGATCATTGGGGGGGGGGGGCACGTGCCACCCAACCCCCCCCAACTGGCTCCGTCAGTGGTTACGGGGATTTCATTTCGTCGTACCTCGCCACGTCGGTCAGCGCGGCTTCGTGAAGGGGAGAAGGACCACTTCTGATGTCACTCGCCACCAATGCGAGTTGCGATGCACGTTACGATTCTAGTTGTGGCCAGGGATCGAAATCGGGTTGCCCAGTTCACAGCGCTGTGCACTAACCACGCTGCCACCGCTCCACCACATGTACAGTACTACCCTTAACCTGCTTAAGATAATGTTATATTTAAAACCAGAATAATGACTGCTCTGGGGTCTTTTAAAAACGTTAATATGCTCTAATTTTAAATGAAACAGTTACACGTGCACCACATTTGCAATAGTTTTTCACGAGCAGACACTTCGACGACACGGATTCATAAACCACATTATCAAGGGAGATCTAATGTGATATTGCAGCTATTTATAATGTGAACATTACCACAGGTATCTCAAAAGTATAGCAGTATTAACCCTATAAATACAGCTGTATATTTAGCGCTATATTCATACCCATAAGACAGACAGATTACGATACCAGCATTTTAATATTCAACAAAGACTGCAACCGAAATAAATTTTACCTCTAAAATAAATGATTTGCAATTTTTTTGGTTAATACTGCACCTGTGTTTTTGTGCGATTTTGTTTCCCGCAAATTAACGATGCCAAAAAATAATCTGTAATCACTATGAGAATAGCAATCACGGTGACAGCACTGTTTGTTTGACCGTATCAGATCCTATTCCACTACCATGTTTTTTTTTTATCTCGCAAATAAAAAAAAACTACAACCTGTTCCTGCAAAAAGTAAAATGCATTCATTTCGGGAAGCTTAACAAAAAATAAATCACTGGCAATTAGCAGTTAGATGTCATTTAGAGGCTGGCAGAGTCATTGATGAGGCCCAACCCCACTGGCAAACGCTGGTACCACGGGCTTTAAAAAATATATATATTGCTCAAGTCCATTCATTTTCCATCGCACAAGTCACAGAGGGCCGTGCGTGCGTGCGTGCGTGCGACCGCGGCTCCACACACTTCTCAGACTAAGAGCGCTCCAATTCCGGGGCAAGCCGGAGTGCTCCGCCTTCGTTTCCGCGTGCCCGCTGCCGGTTGGCATCGCAGTGTCTCTTTCAATTTCCGTTTGAACCACCATTCGTTTTTAACACAATCCCCATTTCCCGATGCAAAACCGACTGCTCAGAAAATCAATTTTTGAAAGAAAAAAAAAATGGATTTCATTAAAGGAAGCCGGCGATAACTTGACTTGTGTGCTTAGGGCCAATTTGCGGTCAATCGTGACGGTGTCGCTTGTAGTTTTAATACGTGGATATTAACCTTTCTGATGATATTTTCTATTTGGAATCGCAAGTGAACGCCCCCCCCCCCTTTTTTAATGTGGCAGCCGTGGTTAGAGTAGTGTTTAAAAAAATAAAAACCCCACGCTCACAGAACGTTCCATAATGAGTGACAAACGTCCTCGAGCGTGCTCGTTACACGACGCTGCTCGGGACGGGGTACTCGCTTGCCGCTTTAGCGCGAGGAGGGGGGGGGTGCGGTGTGGCTGGGTGGCGGTCGGAAACGCCCGCGACGCAACGCCACAATAAACACGCGCGCGCATGTCGCGCAATAACGTGCACGGCAGATGGGAAATAAATTATCGGCTAGGACCGTGCCCGCGCATCTGCCACAGGCAGCCTTGCGAGCGTCGCGAGCGCTATGAAGTCATCACGGCGCTGCCGCCGCCGCCGCCGCCGCCGCCGCTCACCTAACGTGTAAACGCGCTTCTTTCCGCGCGCACCTCCCGGGGCATTTTAAATCAGCTTTCCGATTCGGCCGCTACGTCTCCACTGTTCAGCCACGCGGCTTCTCCATCGGGCCGTTTCGGGTGCGGGGAGGCGAGCGGCAACAAAAGCAGGCAGAGCGCGACGCCGACGCTGGGCGCGTGCCGATTTCTCGCCGCGCAAGCTGATGAATCGTCCATGACCCAGGGTGGTCGATCAGCGCCGTGGCAAATGCCGGACGAATGGGGCAGCAGCCCCAGGCACCCGGGCGGCGGTGGCTACGCTGCACGTGGCGGCATGCAATTTCAGCGCTGCGAACGCAGCGAGGGCTCGCCGTGAAAAGCCCTTCCAGTGGGCGTCGAAGTGCCATACTCTGGCTTGCCAGGAGATGGCGGCACAGCAAAGTGGACTAATTCCCATCCGTTTCGATCTGTACGGGGGAGAGAGTGTCGCCCCTTCGTGTGCCTAGGTTTTCTCCGGTCGCTCCGGTTTCCTCCCACGTCCATAATAAACACTCGTCAATAATTGTCGGGAAACATCTAAAAATAAAAAATAATAAAAAAAACCCAATGCAGCAATCAGGAAATGAAGCAAGCAGTGGTGGCTCAAATGTTTGGTGGGGCAGGGAGCGGCGCTGGGGTTCGGAGGGCTCACAAAGATGGCACACCTTGACCCGACCGTCGCAATGTCCAAGCACAGCTCTTCCATTCAAGAATATATAGAGGTTCTTTACCTTGTTGGGGTGAATGGTAGCACCCCGTCCAGTGGCTGCAGGGATTTATTTAAATCGTCCACAATACAGTTTATTTTGGGTTATATCGCGTAAATGTGTGTGTCGTTAAACCCGCCACCACCCGACACAGCCAATCACAACGTTTGCAATCCGAGTTTGACGTTTCACCAGTAACGTCGTAACTCAAGATTGTAAATTGTTGCGGCTTTGCTCTCCAGCACACCGGTGTGCTGTACTAGTAAGGAATTGGGGTGTTACGTTTACGTGACAAACCTTACTAATTGGCCGTGTCGGGTGGTGGCGGGTTTAACGACACATTTATATATTTATGCAATCCAACCCAAAAAACCCTGTATTATGGATGATATTGGTCGCAAAAGCCTACGTGTCCTTTGAATCAATTTGCATGCAACATCCACAAGGGGACACACATCGACTCTCGAACGCTCAAAGGTTTTTTTGTTACGAGGTCACACTACCCTTGCTGCACTCGGGGTCTGTACATTACACTGCCTTTGTACAGCCTCTGTCAATCCACTGCTGGATGACTGCCTCCCCACGCCTTTGTGGGCTGCTGAGAAATATCTGACGGTACTTCACCACGATCCCAGTGCGGGTTGGCAATGTTGAAGTCTTCAACCTTTTCAAATATATATTTTTAATATATATAAAATATGTGGCGCTTAAAGGAACAGCAAACGAAAAAACACACTCCCGAATGTTTTTTAGCATTCTCTGTTATATTTAGGCGATGGTAAAAATCGAGGGTGATCAATATCCAGCCGGAGCTGTGCGGGGCTGAGCGCCATCAAATATTTCCCCTCTCCCGCAACCCGGGTGGCTGTCGGAAATGGGCGTGGGGGAGGGTCGGCCTGGAGAATACTGCATGATATGTTAAGTCCTGGCTAAAAAAAACCCGCAAATGATATTCATTGAGAAAACAAGACTGCCATATCTTGGCGAGACGACACAGCAGCAGGTATTGATATGAACGTGTATATATATAGGAAGAGATGTGCAATTGTGCAACATAAACCTTGCCCTACAGTTTTCCTCCGCGGTAATTGAGGCAATATCGCGCACAAATGAGATTGTCACTGGACTGCCGCTCCCCGGGAGAGGTTTGGGAATTTATCTGCATTTATGTACCGGGGCCCCTTCTAAAACGATCCGAGCAGAAAAAAATTAAATAAAACACCTTTCATTAAGAACTGCTTTGTTTTTTGTTCTCTAATCACCCTTCATAAAGCTCACAAATATTTAAATTGATATTTTTTTTTCCTTGAAACCGCCCTCGGTGGAGGTCTCGTTTTCTGCCACGTGAGTCGGTGGCTTTGAGCCGTTGTGTGTGCGTTAGGCTGGTGTCGGGGGGGGGGGGGGGGGCACGTTACTCTGCGACGCAGCACAGACACGCGACCTCCCTCTGAGTTGGCCGTCGGCGCCACCGACCCCGACTCGTACCTCCAGCCGCCCGGCCACCGGCTGCCCGTGCGTCTCCACCGCCCGGCTCCTGCTCATGGCAGCGCGCAGATCCTGCGCCCAGTCCCGCATTTCCTGGTAGTTCTCCTCAAATGCCACGAGGCTGCGGTTGGCAGCGACGAGAAGGAGCGGGGCGAGGGCGGAGAGGGGGAGGAAGGGCGGGGGGGGGCGAGGGGATCAGGAGTTGAGCCGAGATGCAGGAGAGAGCGGAGTTTTCTCCGGGATGCGTGGGATGGAGTCTAACCACCTCGATAATTGAAGTTACACAACGCAATACAACAAAGCTAATTAGCAAGCTCTTGCATTCAGCATATTTCACGCGCTCTCAAGACACTCCATCCCAGCCTTTTAATCTTGCCAGGCTGTTTGGATTTAGATCGGGAGAATGTTCCAACCTTTTGAGGCGTTTCCACACAGACACACACACACAGTCGCTCTGCACCACGCCGAAAATTGAGTCGCGAAAAGCAATAAAATACAGGGGCAACACTAATGGGGAATCCACTCGAAGCGGAGCGGATTCGGCGAGCAGACTTTAACCGCGCCACGCCGTCTTGCTTTCATAACTAAAAATAATTTTGGCACTCGAAATTAAACATGTGTACGGCGTATAAAACACACTTTAATTAACCGCTGAAAACCCTTAATCTCGGCAGATGAGAAGCAAATGCAATCCGAGAGTTTGTGTGCGGTTTTTTTTTCTCTTCTTCTCATTATGATTTACCCAATGGTCTGAAGAAATTAAGCGTGCTTTGGCCGGAGGTTACATTGCCTTGTTAGTGACGATTGCACGCGTCCTGATTGCAGTGGGGAATCTCACCTCTCATGCTCCATTCCTGGGGCCTCATTACGCTGGGCGGCGTCACTTTGTTGTGTCGCGGGGCTCGCAGTCTCATTTCGCCTCTCGGTTATTAGCTGCTCATCCAAGCCGCATGTCCCACTGACCATGGCCTAAAAACAAAAATATAAAATACACTTTTACAATCCACTCGCAGGCGACATTTGTGCGGTTTTTTTTTTACTACACACAACAACGTGTCGTTTGGAATTTTGTGGAATGAAAAGCGAGAGGCGAACATTCGAGTGCATTTTTGCTTCGGGTGCTCGAGGGCTTTTAAGCAGAGCATTGGTTGTCAGGGGAAGGGGGTCAGAGGTCACCCAATTGAAGATGGAGATGGCTGGCCAGGATTGTAAAGAATGAAACCCCCCCCCCCCCCCAGCATATTGAACCCGAAACTTCGGCAAGGGTCAGGATTCCCTGGGGCCGCAGTCTGGTACGGCGCTGGCAGACAAACGCGACGAACACTCTTGAGTTGTCAGGATGAGAGATCACTGCCCCAAACGTTTGAGAGCCCGCTAGGACGACATTCATTTTAACGGTCGAAAGAAAAAAGTGGTGCTGGCCGTCTCGCGTCGCGGCCACGACAAAATGAGACCGGAGGAAAAAAAAACTCCAGCGCTTGGCGTGGATCAACATACCCATCCCGATTCATTAAGATGGGCTGCTCTGCAGCGCCGCGTACACACAGCTCATTTACCGCTCTCTCACGCATGGTAAATTAAGTACACACAGTTCAATAGCCGTGTGATTTATGCACACCTTCATTTCGGAAAATTGGCTTGCTTTGCAATATTGAAAGTGGGGGGTTAACAAAGCCGATTCCATAAATTCACTTTCGATTTTTTTTTAACTCGCGCAAAAAAATTCCCCCCCCCCCCATCGCAGAGCTCAGGTGAGGATTTCGGCGATTGCACTCAAATTATGCTCCAGGAAGATCGCGCGCTTCCCTTTCTGCGACGCACTTCCACGCGGGCGGTGTGTCGCCCGCTCAGATTCCTACCGCCCACCCCCCCGTGGAAGGATCCACTTTGTGTTTTTGTGGCTTCCGCCCAGGCGACGGACCGTTCCTACCGTTGTGAAAACCACCTACACTTGAAAAGCTTCCCCCCCCCCCCCCCCGCTGCTTCCCGCACCGGTGCTCGGTCAATGGCCGATTCATCCACGGTAATCTCCCCGAACCCCATGCCAAAACTACGTTCACGCCCTGCCCCCTGCTGCTGCATGCTGGAAGCAGTAACGTTAGTAGCAGCAGCAGCATTGTAACGAACAGCAGCAGCGTAACGAACAGCGGCGGCGTTGTAACGAACAGCGGCGGCGTTATAACGAACAGCGGCGGCGTTGTAACGAACAGCGGCGGCGTTGTAACGAACAGCGGCGGCGTTGTAACGAACAGCGGCGGCGTTGTAACGAACAGCGGCGGCGTTATAACGAACATCGGCGGCGTTATAACAGCAGCGGCGTTGTAACGAACAGCAGCGGCGTTATAACAAACAGCGGCAGCGTTATAACGAACAGCAGCGGCGTTATAACGAACAGCAGCGGCGTTGTAACGAACAGAAGCGGCGTTGTAACGAACAGCAGTAGCAGCGTAACGAACAGCAGCAGTCCCAGCAGCAATGCTTTAGGCAACTCGCTGCTAAGCAAGATACAAAACACAGCACAAGATAGCTACTGAACATTTAAAAGATTGAACACGGGCACAATAACATAATAAGTATTATTTTAAAATACTTTTTTTTAAAACACGCTTTAATGAAATGTACCGTACTCGTAATACCAGAACTCAACGACTCCAGGAAGTGGCCCCGAAGCTTTTGCCACAACGCAAGGGGACCGTGGTGATTTACAGCCAACGTGAGTTGAGCGTGGACAATTAGACCCAAGCCGAAACAAACGTATAAAAAAAGAATGCTTACAAATATTTTTGTTATTTTTTTGATGGAATAAAGTATTGTCATCAGTATGACATAAGTATACCAAGTTTGCAGTCAATACCACATTGGGAAGCGGGTTAAAACTGAGTTACAAGATTTGAGGATACGACAACAACAACAACAGAGAGAGAGAGTGAGTTAATAGAAAGCGTGTTATAATAATAAAATAGGAGTCGTTGCACGGGACAGCCCGTGTTAACACGGGAACGCATTTAAACGAAACGGTGACGTTTCTAAGGTGTGCACCACGACCAGAAGCGCAGGGCGACGCGGTGAAGGTGTAAACGCGATGTATCATTTAGCTCTTGGAGTTCTTCAACAACAACAAAAATATACGCGCGTTCATATAAATATATATTTTTTAAAACCCTCCGTAAGTGCCAGCGGACTCGAGCAATCTTCTTTCAGGCTCGCAGGAGCCTCGTGGCGATGGTCCAAGATCAAATGGACTGTGAAAAATGAGCTCAGCCTTACACGAGTCGAGAAATAAGAAAAAATATAATCATCATTTCGCGTAATTACGGCGCACACACACTGTATTAAAATTATCAGCGTACAGTGGGGGGGGTGTTAGCCGCCCGCGCTAAAACATTTTCAAGGAGGCGGACGGGGGGTAGGGGGGGGGGGAAATCTTAAATTAATTTTTGTTTAGGTGTAAATTTATGAGATCAAAGTTTTATACCGCTGTAGAACTCCCCGATCATATCTAATTTAGTTTGCTGTTTTTTTTTTTTAATCTAGGAGGCATGAATAATCCAGCCGTTCTTTCATTAGCGATCAAATTCCACGAAACTCTTCGATCGGCATGGGACGCGGCGGCTTTTGAAAGCGAGCGAGCGTCGACCGCGGCGCTGCTTCGCCGTCACATCAAACAGCGGCGGGCGCTCGTCGCGCCGAGAGACGCGAACATTCAGCCCGGAAGTTGTGTCCACGTCCTCCTTGGCCGTGAGATTTTAAAACACTTGCGCTATTTGTTTTTTTTATTCTACACAGGTAAAGGCCCTAGCGACATGGCCATCACCAATGATCGCAGCTCATCATCGCGTGGAAATTTACAGCAGCCAGAAACTCTTAGGACGCCCGACGTTGATTCTCAACGTGCGAGGGCAAAAACTGCAGGACCGGGACAAAAATCCACACGATCACAGGGAGAACATGCAAAACTCCAAATATACAGCAGGCGTCAAAAAGGTCAGGATTGAACCCACGAACCTCCTGTATACCAAGCGAAGTAGTTAACACCTCGCCACCGTGGCACTGCAACATACATCGCCAGCCACGACAGCTGGCCAATTTTTTCAGCGGTAGAGCGAGTCAACTTAACAATAGGAAGGTTCATATTCTTAGTTTTTTCGGTAAAGTCACGTTGAAGAGAAACAACAAAATAATAAAATATATATAACAATAAAAAAATTCTCACGACGTTTCGACCATAACTCAAACGGTCATCTTCAGGTGTGTTGGTTTGCATAAATTTTAAAATAAATTTATGCAACGTGCCTTTACCGAAAAAACTAAGAATATGAATTACTGCAGTCACGAAAGCTTTAAATCAAAATAGGAAGGTTTGCGAGTTGAAATCCTGGTTAGGGAGGTTGACTCAGCCCATCATTCCTCCTGAGTGGTTCAAACGAGCACCACACTTTGTGGGGAAAATCAACAGCGATTGTCATTCCTCGTCATAGAAATGTGGAATGTTTGCTAGTGGCTCAGCCGGATTGTAAACAGGGGATGAGCACCAATGCGTGTTTGCTCACTTGCGTATAGGGGGGGGGGGGGGGGGGGGGGGCGAGAATGTCTGGACGAGTGACGTTGCACGGCGTTGCGGTTAACTTGCAACTCTGGGACGGGTCGATGCGTTAGAGTCCACGTGCTGCGTGGCGGCGGGAGTCCGTGACGAGAATCCAAAAGGGGAACGATTCGCCCGTGGCGCCCCGGATGCGCCAACCGACCATTGATTTGTCATCGGCGACTCCTGCATTCGAATCCGAGAGCGTCGCGATGCCGCTCGCACGAACGAGCCAACGGAGACATTGAACACCGAATGAGTCCGAGATACCACTGCAGTGGCCGCGGGAACGTGGCGGAGCGGCGGTTCGCACGCCGCACGACGACCTCGGCGGCCCGAGTTCGCCGCCCGCTCGCGACCAACGCTAGCGGCGAGCGATGTCCGAACCCGTCCCTGGGCCGGCCTACCCCCCCACCCCCCCCCTTCACCGACAGCCCAGGAGGCGTGCCCGACGTTCGACCACCGTCGGGGCACGTGGCTGGAACCAACGTTGGCACCAACGTTGGTCCGATGTTCCACAATTTCGTGAGAGGCACTGCCCAGCGTGACGCAGTATGGTCAAACACACTCCCCGTGACGAGAACAAGGCGTGGGGTGGTGGTGGGGGGGGGGAGAGGAGACGTCCGTCCAGCGATGGATTGATCAAGCACAGTCTGTTGTTGTCGCTGTACTCTGCGAGGAACCGTAATTGACGACCACGGAGCTACTGCCGCAATGACGAGCAGCGACGGTGCTGCTTTGTCTTGCGTCGTTGGCGCTGCAAAGCGCCGGAAGCCATCGCGGATCATTTTTCGTCTTTTTTTTTCTCTTGCTCGTGACGAGCGCATTCGTTCGCGTGCTCGGGATGCGCTCTCCCCTTTGCGTGTCTGCGAGAGGATTTGTTTTTTTCTCTCCTCTTTCTCAAAGTTGCAATCAAATAACCAAGGGAGCTAACCCAGTTTTTGGAAATATTTCATAAATGAAAGATTAAAAGAAGACTAAAGTAACAAAACAGCACCCTTTTCAGGATCAGTGACAAAACCACGTGGGCGTGAGTATCCTGTGCGTTTTATGCACAGAGCAGTAGCCGGCGCGATTAAACTGTAATCAAGTCAACGAGATTGCTTAAGGCGGCCTCCGCGCAACGCTTTCATTAATTTTCACAATTTCCTCCCACAATAAGCCTTAATTAAAAATGTGCAAATTAAATTGTTTACAAATGGAATCCTGCAGAGATGTGTGTGCGCGTGGCGTCCCAGAAGCTCCGACAGTAAACAGTCCTCGGGACAGGAGTGACAAGTGAATGACAAACACAACGTACGATATTCAACTCGCGCCTCCCATAGAAGTTTTAGGCGGTGCTCATTTGGCGAGAGTTGCCCGCGCACCCAACGTCCCACCAGAGGAAGGGGGACGCGGCAGAGCGAGGGCGCGGGGGGTAACGAGGCTGCCCAGTGTACGGGACCGAGTGCGCTTCTCTTGCGCGTAACACCGCGGGGAGGGGGACAAGGCCCCCCCCCCCCGCCGTCTTGAGGTCGAAAGTAGATGGGGCTGTGCAGCTATTCCCAGATGCTCGGTGCATTTCCCACCTCGCGTCCACGTTTGACGCAGCGCGGCACGGTGCGGATTTACACAGCGTCTCGATGTGACCGGGTGTACAGGCGTCATACAGAAATGAGTGGGGCGAGTCTATCCTATACAAAGAGAGGGTCAGAGGGCCACCACAAGCTGAGCAAACAAGAAAGGTCTTGGACTTGAACAGGGGAAAGAAGTCGACAGGACTGATGGCTGGGGGAAAGGAGTACAAGGGTATGGGGGGGGGCAGCAGAGGGGAATGAGCGACCTCACACCGAGCGAAGGTCGACTGGGAGCTTCCACAGAAGGCCTTGGTTGCTTGAGCAGAGTGTCTGGAAGGGAGTCGAGCGAGATGAGACGGGAGAGGTAGGAGAGTGCACGGAGGGGAGTCGGGGGAAAGGAGCGGGAAGAGGCGTGCGGGGCGAGTCCATGGGGGACCGCGAGGACAGAGAGCGTCGCCGTCGCGCCCACACAGAAAGGGAACCGGGACGCCGCGAGTGGAAGAGGCGCCGTTGTGGGGAAGGTCGGGAGCGAGGCCTCGCGAGGCGATGGCGTTTTAAACGCGAGTCTGGAACCGGCCACTTCCAGGATCGGATTGGGAGCCAGTGGAGGGACTGGAGTATTGATACGACGAGGAGTCTGTCGATGGGAGTTTGAAGACGAGCGATTCAGGAGAGAGTTGCGGGAGTGGAGTTGAGATGGAACGCGGAGATCGCGGGTGCGGAAGCGAATGCGCCGACGGAGGCACGAGGCCCTGCACAAGTCGGCGCGTAGGAGGAGAACGAGAGCTCAGGATCGTCGAGAACGAGGGACGAACCGACCGCGAGAGGTGGCGACGGCGTGGGGAGGCCTTCACCCTATCAGCGGGGTTGATCGTGGCTCGTCATATTTGGGCAGCGGGCTGGTGGCGCAGTGGGATCGCTTGTACTTCGCAGCAATAAATCCTGGGTTCGATTCCCAACTATGGCGCATGTCGGTATAGTGTTTGTGTGTTGTCATAGTGTTTGTGTGTTGTGTGTTGTTATAGTGTTTGTGTGTTATAGTGTTTGTGTGTTATAGTGTTTGTGTGTTATAGTGTTTGTGTGTTATAGTGTTTGTGTGTTGTTATAGTGTTTGTGTGTTGTTATAGTGTTTGTGTGTCATAGTGTTTGTATGTTGTTATAGTGTTTGTATGTTATAGTGTTTGTATGTTGTCATAGTGTTTGTGTGTTATAGTGTTTGTGTGTTATAGTGTTTGTATGTTGTCATAGTGTTTGTATGTTGTCATAGTGTTTGTGTGTTATAGTGTTTGTGTGTTATAGTGTTTGTGTGTTATAGTGTTTGTGTGTTATAGTGTTTGTGTGTTGTTATAGTGTTTGTGTGTTGTTATAGTGTTTGTGTGTTGTTATAGTGTTTGTGTGTTGTTATAGTGTTTGTGTGTTATAGTGTTTGTGTGTTATAGTGTTTGTGTGTTATAGTATTTGTGTGTTATAGTGTTTGTATGTTGTTATAGTGTTTGTATGTTGTTATAGTGTTTGTATGTTGTTATAGTGTTTGTATGTTGTTATAGTGTTTGTATGTTGTTATAGTGTTTGTATGTTGTTATAGTGTTTGTGTGTTAGTGTTTGTGTGTTGTTATAGTGTTTGTGTGTTGTTATAGTGTTTGTGTGTTGTTATAGTGTTTGTGTGTTGTTATAGTGTTTGTGTGTTATAGTGTTTGTGTGTTATAGTGTTTGTGTGTTATAGTGTTTGTGTGTTATAGTGTTTGTGTGTTATAGTATTTGTGTGTTATAGTGTTTGTGTGTTGTTATAGTGTTTGTATGTTGTTATAGTGTTTGGATGTTGTTATAGTGTTTGTGTGTTATAGTGTTTGTGTGTTATAGTGTTTGTATGTTGTTATAGTGTTTGTATGTTGTTATAGTGTTTGTGTGTTATAGTGTGTGTATGTTGTTATAGTGTTTGTATGTTGTTATAGTGTTTGTATGTTGTTATAGTGTTTGTATGTTGTCATAGTGTTTGTATGTTGTCATAGTGTTTGTGTGTTATAGTGTTTGTGTGTTATAGTGTTTGTATGTTGTTATAGTGTTTGTATGTTGTTATAGTGTTTGTGTGTTATAGTGTTTGTATGTTGTTATAGTGTTTGTGTGTTGTTATAGTGTTTGTGTGTTGTTATAGTGTGTGTGTGTTATAGTGTGTGTGTTATAGTGTTTGTGTGTTATAGTGTTTGTGTGTTATAGTGTTTGTATGTTGTTATAGTGTTTGTGTGTTGTTATAGTGTTTGTATGTTGTTATAGTGTTTGTATGTTGTTATAGTGTTTGTGTGTTGTTATAGTGTTTGTGTGTTGTTATAGTGTTTGTGTGTTATAGTGTTTGTGTGTTGTTATAGTGTTTGTGTGTTGTTATAGTGCTTGTGTGTTATAGTGTTTGTGTGTTATAGTGTTTGTGTGTTATAGTGTTTGTGTGTTATAGTGTTTGTATGTTATAGTGTCTGTATGTTGTTATAGTGTTTGTATGTTGTTATAGTGTTTGTATGTTGTTATAGTGTTTGTATGTTGTTATAGTGTTTGTATGTTGTTATAGTGTTTGTGTGTTATAGTGTTTGTATGTTGTTATAGTGTTTGTATGTTGTCATAGTGTTTGTGTGTTGTTATAGTGTTTGTATGGTATAGTTTGTGTGTTATAGTGTTTGTATGTTGTCATAGTGTTTGTGTGTTGTTATAGTGTTTGTATGTTATAGTGTTTGTATGTTGTCATAGTGTTTGTGTGTTATAGTGTTTGTGTGTTATAGTGTTTGTATGTTGGTATAGTGTCTGTATGTTGTCATAGTGTCTGTATATTGTCATAGTGTTTGTGTGTTGTCAGTGTTTGTGTGTTGTTATAGTGTTTGTATGTTGTTATAGTGTTTGTGTGTTATAGTGATTGTATGTTGTCAGTGTTTGTGTGTTATAGTGTTTGTATGTTGTTATAGTGTTTGTGTGTTATAGTGTTTGTGTGTTATAGTGTTTGCGTGTTATAGTGTTTGCGTGTTACAGTGTTTGTATATTATAGTGTTTGTATGTTGTTATAGTATTTGTGTGTTATAGTGTTTGTATGTTATAGTGTTTGTATGTTATAGTGTTTGTATGTTGTTATAGTGTTTGTATGTTGTTATAGTGTTTGTATGTTGTTATAGTGTTTGTATGTTGTCATAGTGTTTGTATGTTGTTATTGTGTTTGTGTTGTTTCTCCGCCTGTTCTGCATGGGTTTCCTCCGGGTTCTCCGGTTTCCTCCTTAAGCTAAAACAACACACAGTGTAAGTGGTGTTGGCCAATCATACCACTGATAGAATCTGACCTACAAACGACACAATTGGGATTACACAGAGCAGCAGCAGCAGCAGCGTCGCCCCAACGGCAAAAAAACTTGGCAGGACCCTCCTGAAACAGGAGTCGTGAGACTCAGCGATGCTCTCCTAGGTAATCAAGCGGAACAATAACAAAAACAACATTAATAAACGATGATCCGCACGATCATGCCGAGGGCATCGTGCGCACGCTCACCGCCAGGGTGCGGGGGTCACGGGGGTCGTCTTCCTCGTTGTCCGTGAGAGCGTGGGACCTCACGGTGGACAGCGAGCGCACAATCCATCGGTGTTGGCGCGCGATCTGCCGCTGCAGCTCGTGCCACTGGCTCTCCACGAGGCCCAGGGTCTGCTCCAGGCCTGGCGAGACATCCACCACACGGGCGGCGTCTCTCAACTTGTCGACAACTCTCGCCGCGCATTTGAACCCACGTCACAACTCAGTATATGCAGGGTGCTTCAAAAATGTTTCGACAATTAAGTGGGACTATCGTTTTTAATGGAAAAAAGAACGAATACCCTGTAACATGATAACAAATGCATGTTAATAAGCTTCAAAAAAGTCAAAGAGTCTCCCACTTGTTCGCCATCGTTGTCAACGCGTGGCCTGGAATCTTCTCCAAGTGGTCTCCACAGCCCGGAGGCGGCAGCACCACATTTCTTGTGGATTTGTTGCAAATTCTCACAAGTGTTGAAACATTTGTTGAAGCACTCCCCTATACATTTTTTTAGTTTGTTCAATCGCGGTTCGCCAAACGCAGGGGGGCCCAAAAGGATCATAATGCCGAGCGGCGTGCAACAAACAGCACTTTTAAAGGTGCGCAACAGATATATATTTTTTTTTTACAAAACGAAAAGAAAAGAGCCGATGGCAGAGCAAATTCAAAAGTGGAGCGGTGCGAGAGGGAAGAAGCAGAAGGAGCGGCGTCGTGAGCTGCTGCAGTGTGGCAGTTCGACGGCGCGACGGAGAAATCAAGAGAGCCGGCGTCCGGTCGACCGAGCCCTCAACGTGGCCAGAGGAATCGATGAGTGAAGTTCACGGGAACAGTAACCATGGCAACAGCGACAGAAATAGTCCTTAACCCCGGGGTGACACCGCTGCATGCGAGTTGTTCTCCGCGCGAGTTTGTTATTCACCGTACGTGCTTGCGAAGCGGCCTTGCTAACGATGCGTCATTCTAAATTTGCGTGCGTTGCCTCCGTGCAGCGCTCTGCTCAACTGGCGCGACGGGGCTTGCCGTTTCCTTGAGAGAGCGAGCTTCTTAACCCCCCCCTCCCCACCCAGGAGCGAGCGCACCACAGTCCGCCTAACTGCAAGCCGCGTGCGGTGCAGAAAAGCATCGCACAGCCCCCGGCTCCCCGCTGCGAGAGGAGCACGTGGTTCCTGCCGCCCACGGCGCGCCACGCCGCAGCTGCCGCTGCTGCTCCTGATGGGAGGGGAACTCAACTCGGCTTCTGGGAGATCAACAGCTCCATGAGGCTCCTGCCCTCCGTCACCACGGCGTCTTTGAGGGCACGGCGACTGTCCACGGCCACCTTGAAGTTCTGGAGAGGGACACAAATGGAGAGGTGAACTACAACAACAACGTCATTCGTTTGCCCAGAGGAAAAGCCTCGCTCACCGGATCTCAAGATTCTGTTGATCAGGAGGGTCCCTGCTACATTGGGATTGGTTGGCCAATTCCGCAGAGGAGCGTTCCGCTCTGTGTGGGAGGAATCGCTCGGCACCGCCGTCTCCCGGCCGCACCTCGCAGCGCTCCTCGCCCACGGCACCTGGCCGGGAAAGCCCTGGCTTTCGCCCCTCTCCAGGCGCTGACCAGAACTCAAAATCCCGCTGAGCTTCCGAGACCAGACAAGATCTGGCGCGTTCGGGGGCGATTTCGTCGTGGCGGCCAGCGAGCAGCGCGCGAGTCGCGTCACGGATGACCGCAGCTCACGGCTGCTCAGCCATGACATCGGTCATCGCAAATCACGACGCGACGATCGACATGCTCAAATCGGGGACGAAACTTTGTGAGAAGGCAAACGCCGAGACGGCGTGCGACGTACGAGGTGCGTCTCCAAGTAAACGCCGAGGCTGCCAACGTCCGCGCCGGGTAGGGTCCAGTTCTCCGTCTTCTCCATGGCAACGGCGAGCCACGCGATGAGCTCGTCCAGCTTTCTCACAAACGCCTGTCGGGGAGGGAGGCACGGCGAGGGTGAAGGCAGAGTGAGGAGGGGGAGGCACACGAAGGGCTGCACTGCCCTGCGACACAAAACTGAAAGCACGGAAAAAGAGTCACATTTTGAAGAATGCGAACCCATCATGGCACCGACCTCAGTCTTCTCCCATATGGCATCGTTGCCCGCCTGCTGTTTAACATCGCACTGCGGTCGCCCGTCGTTTGCGAGGCGACGCGGCTCGTCCTCTGGCTCGCACGAGGCAGCCCTGGCCCGGCGCTCGCGTCCCCCGTGCGGCGACGTGAGCGAGCCACGGGCCACCCCGCCCGGGGAGCCGCACGCAGAGGAACGCGACGCCCTTCCCGAGACGGGGAGGCCGCTGAGCGGGCCCGTGTCCAGCGTGTCCAGCGTGTCCAGCGTGTCCAGCGTGTCCAGCGCGCCCGCCGGGCCAGCGCGAGCGTCGGGCGTCGCGCGGCCGGGCCCGTCCGCGTCGCTCGTCCCGTCGCGGGCCCATCCAGTCGCCATCGGCCCCCCGAGAGGCAAAGCCGCATCCCCGGGAGAGATCTGCGGCGGCTCGTTGCCCGCCGTCGCGGCCCGGAGGCTCTTTTTGTCCGTCACTTTGTCGACGAAACGGGGGGCGTCGGTATTAGCTCGGCAAGCCGACTTCTGCGACGGCTTCTTCTCGAGGAGCGTCGACAAGTCGTCCAGCTTGAGGGCGATGATCTCCGCGTCCTTTAGCTGCGACGGCAAGGCCATGTACTCCTCCCAGCCGAACCAAGCGCCATCGCCCGACCCCTCATGCGGCCCCGGCGATTTGTTGCCGGCAGCCGGCTGACCCGCGTGGTGGGAGCTGGCGCGGGCTGCGTCGAGCGTCTCTCCGGTGCCGTCTCGGCGACGCCGAGCGGGCGCCGCGGGGGCGCGTCCGGCCGCGGGTTCCTCGGGGTTCTCTCGCCAGCTCCCGAGTCGCTCGAAGAGTTCGCCGAACTCGTCGCGCGAGCCGCCGCCGCCGCCGCCGGCCGCTTCTCTCGGGAGGTACTCGGCGGCGTCCAGCGCGTTTCCGTACTCCCAGTCCAGGAAGGCCTGCTCCCACGAGCCGGCCACCCTCCCGGAGGCCACCGCCGTTCGAGCCCTCGTTGCATTTTCCTTCTTCTTCAATTTACCTTGCCAAGGGTCTGCCGAGCCGGCCGCGAAGGGCGACTCGGCAACGGCGCGCTCGCGGGCCGCCGCTCCGCAACCGCGCGCGTTCGCGAGCTCGGCGTCGACCCCCTCCGGCTCCGACGGGAGCTCTTGGCGACACCGCGGCCTCGTCGACAAACCATCGCCGGGCGGCCCGCCTCCGGGCGCCGGGGTTACCTCCGGCGGAGATCCGGGCACGGCGAGCATCCCGTGCGTTGGCGACGAGGTCGGCGAGCCGCCGTAGGAGCGGAAGGGCACGAGGCACCCGAACGCCCCGCCGTCGTCGCCTTCGGAGTCGTCCTCGTCAGACGCGGCTCCCGAGAAGGGGATCCTCCTCGAGACGCCCGATTGGAACGCGCCGTCGAGGCCCCCCGACGGCGTCGCGGCGCTCGCGTCCCACCGCCACGCGCACCTCGCCCCCGTCGGTGCCGAGCCGTCCGCAGCGGCCGGGACGAGCGGATTCCATCGCGGATCGCGCGCCGTCCACGGGGAGAGGAAGCCGTCGCCGGTGCCGCGGCATTCATCCGAGGACCACGGAACCGCGCCGGCAACTTCCTCGGCAAAACTGGCAATGCGGGACCCACCCGGCGCTCGCGACGAAGTCTCGTCCGCGCCGCCGAGCGCACGGCGGCCGCGATCGGCGGCGACGACTCCCGGCACGCCCCACGGGTCTGCATCCCGCTCCGGGTAGCCGGCGATCTTCTCGGTCAGCTCCATGTAGTTCCAGCGGCCAAACGTCTTGGGCACGGACGCTCCGGCCGGCTCGGACGACGGCCGGCTCTCGCGAGGGCTCGAGAGGGCGGGCTCGACGGGAGACTCCGTTCGCGCCGAGGACGAGGGCCGGGACCGACGCGTCGACTTGGTGCCGGAGGGGAGCCCGGCGGGTGCGGAGACGTCGCCGTCCACGGAGAGGTAGGAGGGAGAGCGGGGAGCGGGGACGTCTCCCGCTCCGTCCGCTTCGGCGACCGGCTCCACGGAGCTCTGCGGGGCAAACGCAAACGACGATCGGTTCGGATATCCTCGTGCCCGCCGACGGTCGCCGTTCCCGTGTCGCGTCGCGGCCATCGCAATAACCAAGGGACGCGCGTGTATCACTCCACGTGCAGCGGTGTGTCTATGAAGCTGTGACGGCCGGGCGTGGCCATTGCAGCTTCATAAATAAACAAGGGGCAAAAAGGGGGCTCGGGGACTTTGGACTGGAAGATGGAAAGCATGCACGCGGGCCACTCCGTTCCGTGAGAAATCACAACGAACGCCGTCATTAACGTGGCGAGCGCCGAACACCAATCTCCAGAGCAACAAATCAAACTGAAACTCCATACGTGGGGGGAAGGGTTAGGGTGGAGGAGTCTGGATAGGGCCAGCCCACGGGTCTAGGTGGAGGATTAGGGTTAGGCCTAGAGTTTGATTGGCAGGTGTGGTCAGGGTTAGGGCACCAATTTCAGCACACACACCACATGCACCGCTCGCACCGCACTCGCCGCCCCTGCAGCAGCGTCGATCTCCTGCGGGACGTCAACGACGTTGTCGCGGTGGGGCGACGGCGACGACGGCGAGGACGGGGGTGAGGAGGATGCGGGCCCCAGCAGCACGCGCTCCCGCAGCACGAGGGCGGCCACGCGGAGCGAGTACCACGCCTGCTCCGCCGCTCCCTCGCCGCCCCCCTTCGGTGACCCCGCCCCGGCCTCCCGCAGGGCCTGCGCGGCCTCCACGCGGCAGTCGATCTCCTCAAACACGTCCTGCCACACGGAGAGACGGTGAGCGCTGCCCGCGGACAACAGCTGGCACCGGGCGACCGCGTGCAATGCGGGACAGGCGGCTTGGGGTGGGGGCACACTCGCCTAGCCGATGCCAGCTGCCTGACCTCTAACCCTCGACAGCTCGTCAACCAGCCACTCGTACCAACTCGACCTCGAACCCGAAACAAAACTGATGAGAAACTCATCCATGCTGATATTGCATCCCGAATCGACTCATGCAGCGCTCTCCTCTACGGCTTCTCTAAATCCCTCACCTCCCCACATTCCTCAAGCCCACACTCCACACGATACAAAACTCCACTGCCAGGCTCCTCACCCACACTCTGCAAACGAGAGAGACCACATCACCCCAATTCTCCAACCCCTCCACTGGCTTCCAATCCAATATCGTATCTAGTTCAACATCACACTCCATTAACATCTTCCTGCCTACCTCTCCCCTCTCTACTCTCCTCCACGCACTCTCCGCTCGAGCATCCAATGCTTTTTGCCGAAGCCCCAGTCGACCTTCTCTCATCTGCTGCCCCTGTAGTCTGTAACGTTCTTCCCCCCAGCCATCCGCGCTGTTGACTCCCTATCCCTTGTTGAAATCCAGGCTCACAAGTTAAATTTTCCTCTGCCCATGACCGACTGACCCCCTGTCTCTGCATAAAAGAAAGATGCCCATTATCTCGAGCAGTCACTAAATGTAGACACCTAATAAAATCTAAATTTTGTGATATTATAGAACCCGACTCTCCAAGCAGCCAATCGTACTGGCCCTCTAAGCGGCCCCCGAATCTACCCAGAATGCCCCTCCCTGCAGTGAATATCCAGGTGCCTCGTTCCCTCTTGACGATCACAGTGCCAGGTGGAAAGGAGGAGCTTCCGCGCTGAAGGAACGCGAACGTGAAGTCGCGCCTGTGCCCAGGTGCCTTACACGGCAATTTTTACACTTTTAATTATTTTAATCATCAATTAGAAACTTCTGTCAGTAAAGAGAGAACACTTTCAAGTGAGCAAAAACGAATTCTAGGTTTGTTCTACGCCAATGAATTAATGTTTAATCTATCCAGGTTTCCCTTTTTGAGAATATAAAACGTGGAAAACATCAAACCTTGAAGATGTGAATGGAGGCTGCTTGCCGCCGTTGCTGCTTCGCCGAGGCAGCGCCAACTCCTTTGAGCAACAACTCACAAGCGAGCGTCTCTCCTGCAAACCGTTTCCTTTCTTCAAATATTCCAATTCACTTCTCCTTCCGAGATGCCAGTGTCACTTACAGTGTGGCCGTGTTCAGGGCGTCGTGTGGCAAATTGGGGCGGACAAGTTGGAGAGTGCGCCCGTTTCTTAAAATAGAGCGGCGCGTAGCCGGGACACGAGAATAGCACCCGGGACTTTATTAAGTGCCCGGCGCCGTTTGCTAAGCGCGCCGAGCTGCAAAACCGTAACCTGGATTACCCTAATCTGGAGCAATTATGCATTTATAAATAAAGTTATCGGGTACGAGCCAATGCAATAAAAAGGCACGCGTATCGTGAAGACAACCGACGAGCACAATTAAACGTTTCCGAATCGATCCATTCGCAGTTATTGCATTTGTTGGTTGGACGACGGCAGACCGGCGACCGCTGGCAGCAAACTCCCCCCCACCCATCGCGCGCGTCGCAAAGAGCCCCCCCCCCCATCCCCACCCCGAGGTGGGCACGGTGCGCGCGTTCACCAATGTCGCCGGACGAGCCGCGCGCCTGCCCGGCCACACGGAGCCTGAAGCCTCACCGCAGCCGTTCCCCCCCCGCTCCATCCCACGCTGGCCGAAGCGCGCGCCCGCAGCCCCGTCCCATCGGTTGAATCGGCACGCGCGTTCCGACGGTGGGCTACGAGGGGGGAGGGGGGGTGGGGGGGGGGTTTGCGCCGCCGCCGTACCTTCTCGCTCGGACAGCCCAGAGACCGGAGCGGAGCGGGCCCGGCACCTCCAAGTTCACAGCGAACCACGATGTCACGCCAACTCCACGCCGGCCGGCCGGCCGCTCTCGCCCTCCCGACAAATGACAGCCGGGGTCTATTTTTGAGGCGTCGATGGCAGCGCCGCTTTGGCCGAGCTGGCTCCCTGCACCCCCGTCCGCCCACCCCAGCTGTCCCGAAACGCGATCCCACAGCGCCTGGGCCACACCAGACACGTGTGCCCCCCCTCCCCACCCCCTTCACATTCCACGAGCCTCGCGCCGTGGCGATGATGGCACGGGCCACTCGTGCGACAGTGGAGTGGTGTTTGTTGATGCTGCGTGGGGTAGGAGACGCACGGCTGGACAGGATGCATCGTGATGGGGGCCAAGGTTGAATGTTGTTATCAGGACAGTGTGCAAAGTTAGATTTGCGGTTTGGGGTTCGGAGCTAGGGGTGAGGCTGCAAGTTATGGATAGGCTGAGGGGTTTGTTTAGGGTTGGGGTTAATGACAGCTTGGGTTAGGGGTAATCTTGGAGGTTAGGGTCAAAGTTGAGTTTCGAGATTGAATTTTGGGTTAGGTTATATTGAGGTTAGAGTTGAGCTCAATGTTAAGTATGAGTGTCCATGGTTCATCAACATACATTCCGACACTTTCTAAGCGACAGTTAACATAATTCTGATTGATATTTAAACTCGTCCTGCCATCCATCTGTCCCCCCTCACCAACCTGCAATGACTAGAACGGGGAAGTATGGTGTAACAAACCCTTGTGAGAACACAATATGTGGATGCCGATATCCAGCATTATAATTATTATGACATCCATACTGTTGCAGGTCCCACGTGACATAGAGCCAAGCAGCTCATTGGACCCAAAATCTGAAATCTAAAAATCTCAGGAGTAAACTTTTAGAATTTTAAATTACAAAAATACGTATTTTTTTAATCGCCTGCTTTGACATTTTGCCGCTTTGATCAACAAGCTAAGTGGAAATTCCACTGAAGTTGTTTCTTGTCGGCCACTGACCACATGGGAACAGGGGGCCGTGGGCTCAGCGGCAGCAACAGCTGCTGGCTGGAATTGGAAGTCCTGAACCACGAGACGCCCCAGCTCCCTCCGCTCCCGGGGGACGTCAGCGAGGGCTCGTCCACAACTTCCAGCGACTCTTGTCAACTAAGCACTTTGCACTTCCATTGTGTCACCGAACGTTTTACCTTACCTTGCTTACGACGACGACGACGAATATAACCGCGGCTGAAGTATTAGTCGAGCAATCGCTGTCACCATCGGGCCACAGTTTTGTTTTTTGTACGTCAACTTACGTTTCAACAGACGTACAGAACGCACTGAAGCAGGGCACGCAATCCCAAGCAGTTTAACACGTAGGCTTTCGCGACCAAAATCATCCATAATACAGGTTTATTGGATTAGATCGTGTAAATATATAAAATATGATTCCAAGCAACCAGCATAAAAGAATAATCATCATTATTATATGTATGGATGTTGAAATCATTTCGCACTGTACGTAGCCAACCGTGCTAATCGTTTGGTTTAAAGCCATGAAAGCCTGAGTCTCAAGACCCGTGTTCATGAGGGTTCTGCCAACTGTTCTGCAGTCGGGGACCATGCTGCCAAGTGTGATCCTAATTGAGTAAATTTTCAGATAATTTTTCAGCATAGGAATGTTTTTGGTCAATACCAGTTACCATATATATGGAGGAAACTCATTCAGAACAGGGGGAGAACACGCAAACTCCACACGTGTCTTCGACAGCTCCCGATTAACCTTCAGCTATAGAGGACAATTGTCTCAAAGCATGATGCGGACAGTCCTCGACTTACAAACGCCAGACTTACGAACGCCCGTACTTACGAACCAGCTCCCATGAAGTATAATAAAAAAAAACATTGACTTTAAACACGAACTCGCAATTGCAAACTGAACCAGGGAACTATTTTGTTCAGAGGAGCATTCTCCACTACGTGTAATGAGTCGGCCTCGCGCTGGGAGTGAGTATTTGCGTGTGCGTGTGTGAGGGTGAGTGTGTGGGAAGTGGTAGTGCAGCGGTTAGCAAGTAGCGCAATGAAAGCGGCAACCCGAGTTAAATTCTTGCTCAAGGCCAACACCAGTGCCTGGCGTGGTGTGTTAACATCAACACATGCGCCGTACCGGCCTTCCCAAGTGCGACTCGCCAACAGCACTTGCTCCTGCAGTCTACTTTGGCTATAGGGGAGTCTTTGTGTGCGCCGCGTGTGTGGGGGTGAGCGGTAGTGCAACGGTCGGCGTGCTGTGCTACCAACCTGGTGACCGAAGTTCAATTCCTGCTCACGATCAACACCACTGACGATTGTCTGAATGGGACCTGGGTCTCCTCTAGGTCAACTCAGCCTCAAACGAGTACCTGGTGCAGTGTGTAGACATTGGCACTGGGGCGAGAAAGGCGCTGGCCACTCACCCCATCGTGTGCCACAGTGCCGGCCTTCATAGGCGCCGCTTGGTAACAGCACTTGCCCCAACAGCCTGTTAAGGCTATACGGGGCATTGGGGCGTGTGTCTTTGTGTGTGTCTGTGTGTGCACGCGTGCCCCGTGTGTGTGTGTGTGTGCAATTGTGTCGACTCATTGTCCACCTTTTGACTACAAGCTAACATCAGGGCTCAAGGTAAGTGAAAATAAAACTATTTTTATGTTAATTTATTTTCTGTTTTACTTACTATACAGAATTTATTTTGGTGTTACATGCAAGTGTAAATATTTGCTATTAATTATGAGTTTCACAATGCTTCCGACTGTGTGTTGAACTGTAACACATTTCATAACACTGACCGTATGGGCACTTAAATACTGCACATTGCTGTGTTCAGACTTACGAACCGTCCGACTTACGAACAGGTCTCGGGAACGAAGTAGGCATTTAATTAAATTAGTGCGGTGATAGTTTCTTGTAGAAATTTACCTGACCAGCCCCGTGGTTCAGCGCCAGAGCGAGCGGCTCACAAGCAGAAGGGTTGCGAGTTCAAATCCTGGTTGGGGGCTGATTCAGCCCACCATCC